GCTTCCGCTGTGCTTCTGAAAGGGTGATAGAAATCCCACACTCCCTGCGGCACGTTCCCCAGGGCCGGAACCGCTTCCGGGGCCGGAAGCATCTAGCTCTCTCACTCTAGATGAAGTTAAAATTCCCCAATCCTTCCAAGGTCATCCTGCCCTCGTTCATTTCCCCTCTTCTGGCCTTGCCTTCTTTCAGTTTCCTGGGTTTAGAGAGTGATACTTAGTAATTCTCGTCTAGACCTGTGCCATCCAGCATGGTAGCCGCCGGCCGCAGGTGGCTTTGGGGCACTTGCAGTGTGGCTAGTGTGGCCTTAGGTCCAAAATACACTCCTGATTTCAAAGACTTAGTACAAACAACAACAACAACAGAACAATGTAACATCTCAATGATCATTTTATGTCGATTACATGTTGAAATGAGAATATTTTGGACATATTGGATTTGCTTAGTAGTATTAATATTCATTTTACCTACTTCTTTTTTTAATGAGGTTACTAAAAAATTTAAAGACACATACGTAGCTAGCCTTCCTGGGCCGCCCATTTTATTCTATTGGACATCACTGGTCTAGACACTGGGATGAGCTATAATCAATTTATAGTCATTCCTTCGACTCAACGAACACACTCTGAGCACCTCCAAAGTGCAGGGTGGGCTTAGTGACCCCGGCTGTCCATCGTGGCCACCTTCAACTCAGGAGGGCACCAAGGAGGCCCACACACAGAACTGGGAACTGAAATCTGAACCCATGATCCATCCAGAACAGAATGAACATCCTGTCCATTCTGAACAGGTGAGTGCCGGGTTCGGGGGGGTGACTCAGAGACAGTCCGGGGTGGTAATCCTATCAAGGGATTTTCGACTTTTGAAAAAACACGTACCTGGGAATTCTCACAATAGTGGCCTTTACAGCAAGTTTTGACCTTCTGGTCCCCCTCCACAGTCTTTAGGAAACACTCTGCCAGAACCGCCTGTGACATGTTGAAACCAAAGTAAGTACTTTTCCAGACTATCTGTTTCCAGATCTGATATTCCATTCCAGCCCATGGAGCCTTCCACCACGGCAGATAGGAGGTATGCAGGCAGCAGAGGGCAGCAGAGGGCTGGGGCTCCCTCCCTGGAGTTCCCATGGCCAGCCATCCTCGTGCACCTCTGGGCACTCACACAGGTGACTTCTCAAGCTCCGGGGTTCGGCCTGAGGCTGAGAAGCAGATGTCGAGAGTGACTGAGCGCTGACCTTCACGAGTCACCAGTAACAAGCCTCACCCATGCCCTCTTCCAGAAGCCGCATCTTTCACTACCTGAAGGGTCAGCCGTGTGACGCCTCAGAGTCTGAAGGTCAGGACAGACCGAGAAACAAGAAGGGAGTGGACATGAGGAAGGAGAGTGGAGAGGCAGCAGCAGGAATAAAGAAAAGTTAAAAAGAAGGTTTCCCACCCAGAGCAGACAGGGCAAGTCTAGAGGCAGGCAGTGACTGGTGGGTTTGAGAGGGATTCCCGCTGGGCTGCCTGGTCAGCTAGGGTGAAGAGATGGGGGGGTAGAGTGTTCCTGAAATCCTGGGGGGACTCAGATGTCACCACAGGGTGGGGACCAGGAACCGGGGCTGGCGCTGCCCTGAATCCTACTCTCTCTGCTGTGAGCTGCGGTGGTCCTGGGACACCTGCCCTTTCGGCAGTGGGGGGCTAGGCTTCTGGGGCTGCTCATTGTCTCCAAGCTCACGACCGCTGCTGCCATTTCCTGCTCCCATGACCTCTACAGTATCTTGGCATCTTACGTTGCCTTCATTCCCTGCCCCCGCCTGGCATCTTATCTTTCCCCTGAATAAGCAGGACCTCCAGAGCCAGACACCTCCAGGCCCAAAGCCTCTAAAGGGGAAGATGGGAAAATAGGTTCCTGTGGGGTGGGAGGGGCTCGAAGCCTTGGCCTTGCTCAGTCCCTCTCTGGCATGGTGGGGGAGTGGCAGGGGTGAGAGACAGCAAACTCTGCAGGCTGAAGAGCAGGTGCCCCAGGACCAGATTAGCGGTTTTATCCACCTTTCTGGAATCTCTTCGGAGGCAAGAGAGGCTTCTCTGACCTTAACCATAAAAGGGAAGCTGGGTCTCCTGCCTTTGGGTAAGAGGCTTCCTTTTCACCTCCGCTTCTGCTTTGCCGAAGCCAGAGGAAGGCAGTTATCTCTGCTGGGAGAGCCGAGGAAGCGGAAGGGCTGGCCCTCCACCCAGTCTGCGCCTATTTCCTGGCCGGGAATGGAAAACTACACCCCCTCGCCCGGGTCTCCCAGCGCCTGGTCCTGGGTGCTCACTTCCTCCCCTCAGTGGCCCAGTCATCATGTTCCCTCTGGGGCCAGGGAAGGGTCCCGAGTCACAGTGAGGTCATTTACAGAAAAAGAGACACAGGTTGGTGTGAGCTCCATGGAAGCCCCAGGACATGATCTTTAATTGATGTTCCTGTCCCTGCCTCCCCACCCTGAGCCCCAGATGACATATTTACAGGATGCTGTATGGAGCCAGTTCCAGGCCCAGGCCAGGGCAGCCTCCACTCCTCCCTGGGTGCTGCCGGGGTGGGCCCGGCCCGGGTGGGGCGGGAGGATGCAGACGGCTGGGAGCCAGGTGGACTGGTCGCAGGAGGTCTTGAGTCCTCCACATCCCCACGCCCACTCCCGTGTGTGTGCACACACAGGCATGTCTGCGTGTGTAGAGGTATTCACACTTGTGCAGAGATGTGGATCCAAATGCTTGTGCCAGATGCGTCGCTGGCTATGTGCACACGCATACCACCAGAGTGTCTTCCGGAACCGGTACGGCAGCAGCGGTGCAAACCCCAGCCCTTCCCCTCCTGCTTGTGGGGCTGGTGGAGCAGGACTGGCCAGAGGGTGCCCCGCCCCCCCTTCTCTTGGGCAGTGCCAGCTGGACCGCAGTATTGAGGACCCCACCGTAGCCACATCCGGCCACCCAAAAGGGTGTCAATGGGTCTCAGTCCCCAGTTTGCCCTGAGGGGTGTGCAGATAAACAGGGAGCCATTTCCTCCTCACAGATGCCCCAGAAACAGAGGGACTATAACAGCGCAAAGGCCCTGGGGTGTTCAGAAACCCCTGCTGTGTCTGGGTGGGGTATTCCTGGGGAGAGGGGCTCTGCTCATTTGTGGCTTTCATCCCATAAGGTAGCTTGATCCCCATCTTGCCCTTGCCAGCTGGTTTTTAGCAGTCGAGCCAAGGCTTCACTGTCCCATGGGTCTTGAGGGAAGGCCATGCATGGGCAGGACTGAGTTCATGGGAGGGCTGAGGAATCCCGCCCAGCCTCGGCCTCTCAGGCTCGGCTGCAGTGGGAATCGGAGGACGTAATGGGGAGAACAACTGTAAACTTACTACTCAGCCCTGGAATGGGGGTAAGGAGCAGAATGAGTTTGACAGGGCCTTGAGGACTTTTCTAGAAGCTGAGGATCATATAGGAGACCTGCCTTTTCTTACCTCCTCTTGTACATTGCAGGCAAAAGCCCTCACCCTCCAGTCACAGGGCCACCCCTGGCTTTTCCTGCTTGGGAGAATCCTCCCTGGGAAGATGGCCCAGACTGGGACCTCTAGGCCACAAGGGGGGGTGGGGGGGCACCTAAACCCTGAGTCAGCCCCGGAATCACCCTTCTTGAAAGGGGGAAGGTGCCTTTTTAGTTCAGGGACTGTATTTTCTAGACCCCCAAATACATGCGTCCTGGCAGGGACAGCAGGATGGTCACTTGGAAATTGTAGACAATCTGGGACATGTGGTCGTCGCACCCATGACTTAGGCCTTGGGCACAGAACAGGCAGCTTTGGTTTGAATCAGCGCTCATTCTGCTCTCCAAGCTCCGCAGGGCTGGGCCGAGGGGCAAGCAAGGACGCCCTACCCCTGCGTGGCTTGGGGACAGCTATGTTCAATGAGAGGATTCCAGGCGTGATCATCCAGGGAAAGGGCCCCAGGGAAGGGCCAGGCCTCAGTTCCTCTGGTCCCTCCTGGAAATGTCAAAATATCCCAACTTCCCTCGCCCCAGCACCCCCAAAGTTACATTCATCAGTTAAGATTCAGTTTAAAAAAAGTGTAGGTGTCAGCCCCCTCCCCCTAAGTCCCAGAGAGCTAAAACCCTGGTCCCAGCTGCCTGGTTTTGAGGAAGGGCCTTCCCAGGCCATGCCCACTGGGGGGAGGGCATCCCTCTAGCCCCCCCTCCCACCTTGAGCTGTGGCAGTCCGTGATGATGGAAGCTACATTCACACAGGGAGAGTTGGTGTACAAGGCCAAAGCCGCATGAGGTGGGGTGAGGGACCATGAGGGAAAGGCCCCAGGCCTGGTCCACCCTGGTGATGTGAAGGGCGAGGCCACACCCCCCCCACCCAAACCCCCATGGGACCAGGAATTGAAGGGCTTGGGCCCGGAAGACATTTGCATGGTGCCTCCCTCCGTGGCTGGGCGGGGGCAGCCTCGTGGTTCAGGGCGGAGACGGTGGGCGCCAGGCTCGGAGGGAGGGGGTGGCACTTAGGCCCCTCCGGACCTGGAACGGAGAGGGGGCATCAGGGGAGGATGTGAGGCAGGGCCCAGAGGGAGAGCCCCTGAGCCAGGCCCTAGGAGGTCAGTGCTGGGCCCTAGAGGCGGCAAGTCACAGGCTGGCCAGGGAGGGGATCTGGTGGGAAGTTCAGACAGCGGTGACATGGAAGACAAAACAGATGGGACGCAGAGGTAGCTCCTCTCCCCGGGGATGGGGACTACAGGGGACACAGCTCCAGGGCCCACCTGGGCAGGGGTGATGTGGCCATTGGAAGGGCAGGAGTAAATGGACCAAGGCCTGGGAGGGCAGGTGGGCAGGAGGAAGGGGCAAGGGCAGGCTGAGGGCTTTCTTTCCGGAGCGGGGCTCTCCCACCCCTGTAGTGACAGCAGTGACAGCAGGGGTGGGGAATCAGCCCCTGGCTCCCCCATCGACAGAATGTGAGGTGACGAATGAGATGGAGGAGACAGGCACAGCGGGAGGGATGACGTGGCCGGTGTCACACTGCCCCCTGCTGGGTCGGGTCGTACCTTCCCCGGCGGATGTTTCTTCAGGAGCCAAGGAGAGGACAGGCAGAGAGGGAAAGAAAAGGAGCCATCTGTGACCTTGCCCTTCTCTCAGAGAGGGCCTTTCTGACTCCCATGAGACCCCTTGCCCCAGAGATTAGCCAGGGTCCCTAGGACCTGGTCACTAAAGATAGGCCTAGAGAGAGATACCTGGGTTTGAGTCCTGATTCTGCAACTAACGTACCACATGACCCTGGGCCTCAGGTCCCTCCTCTGTACCTTGAAGGGGTGAGACCAGCTCCAGGGTCCCAGACTCAGATGCTCACAGAACACTGTAGGCTAGGTGGGGACTAGGGGCCTAGGGACAGAGGACACAGCCCTGTTTTAGGCAGCCCCTGCTCAGCTCCACTCCATGGCTGTGCTGAGACGTACTGAGGGCCAGTCTTCTTTTGCAAGAGAAGCTAGAAATCAGGACTGTTAATGTAAACCTCTTGGTTTTTTTAAATGTGAGCAAAACAAGACCCTGTGGCTGGCTCAGACTCTGGCTTATTAGCTAACTTCTCAGAAAGGCCCCCTCAGCTCCAACACTCTGGGGTTCCAATATCCACCCTCCACACACAATGAACACCCAGTGGTGTGGGGGGCGCATGTGTGTCTCTTACTTAAATCCCCAGCCCGTGCCGCCCAGGACGATGGCTGCGACCAGGACAGCCCCCGCGATGGAGCCGATGATGATGTTGGTACCGCTGGGACCTGGGGAGGAGGGCAGGGCTCGGTTGGCAGGGACAGGCGCGGAGAAGGGGAGAGACAGAGCCCCATCCCGGCCAGCTGCAGTCTCACCCTTATATCTCTCCGTCTCCCCCGTGGGTGGAGACGTGGGCAGGGGGTTGTGAATGCTGCAGTCTTTTCCTGTCCAGTCGGGCTGACAGATGCACTTCCCTTCGTTGCTGCAGACCTGGAGGTGGGGTGGGGCCAACAGACGTGAGAGGGGCTCTGTCTCGCCCATCGTGAGCTCCTCCCACCATCCCCAGCCTCCAGGCACGCACTCCGTGGTGGGAGCAGATCCGGCGTTCCCCGCTGCCCGGGCAAGTGCTGAAGTTGAAGGCAGAGGCAGGCAGGCAGCGATGATCCAGGCACAGCATGTTGGGCCCACAGGCTGTGCCATCCTCCACGTAACTCAGGTCGGAGCCGTCAGCCAGCTGGACGTGGCCACCCCTGGGGGAGCCGGCATGGCCAGCCTCAGCCCTTGTCCCCCACCCCCATCGAGGCTGCAGTCTGCCCCTCCCCAGACCGGGTCCCAGCCCAAACCTGCAGTCCAGCTCCTTGCCCTGGTGGTAGAAGGTGACACTGTTGATGTCCCCCCCTAGATCTCCCAGTCGAGGAGCTCCAGAGATGTTCACACAGAGGAGGAAGCCACAGAGCACGTCCCTGTTGGGGCAGCATGGAGACAGTGAGCCCCAAGTCTGACCTTCAACCCAACTACTACTACTATTACTTCTGAACTCGAATCTGCCTTCTCCCCACCGCCTAATTTTTCACATATTCTCTGTTGGGACTCATAGGCTCATCCTAGAACCTTCTGTCCCACCTCTGACAAAAACCCTCCCCAGCCCCAGAGCTGGGGAGGCCAACCAGGAGCCTTGGCAACTCACTGTTTATTGCACTGGACCCAGCCTGACCCCTTGCGTCCACAGTTCCCACGCTCTGTCCCCTCCACGTTCAGCTTCTCATAGCAGAAGCGATCAGCAGCCGCTGTAAGGAGATGATGCCAAGCGTCACCCACTCGCCCGGGGACCTCAGGCCTGCATCTCCAACACTCTGGCCTGATCCCCAGTCCAGCTGGGTTCCTGAGATCCTGGAGAGCCACGCACTCGTAAGAGGGTATTTTTAGCGAGAACTTGCCCCTCCTCAGCCTCTTGATTCTGGGTCCTCCAGAGACCCTCTCCCACTCCCAGCCAAAGACTCACCGTGGCCCCAAAGGGCTTGGCACTGCCGGTCCCGGGTTTTGCAGCGACCTCCATAGCAGCGGCCCTAAAGAAAAACAGGAGACAAGGGACTGAGACACGGAGTGGTCAGAATGGATACAAGACAAGAGACTGTACTGAGCCGGAGGCCCTGAGGAGGAGGAGCCCCCACCCCATCATACCTGTTCGTGATCACAGTAGTAACCATCCAGCTTGTGCAGGTTAGGGGGACACTGTGGAGAGAGGTGCTGGACTGAGAGCCGAGGGATGAAGGGGTGCCAAATGCGCCCCTCGTGGGGCTCATAGTTCAGTGCTCTTTCATGTCAAGGACAAGAGGTCTGGCTCAGAACTCAGGCTACGACGATGCAGACTGGCAAATCCCATAGCCTCTCCCTGTATCCTGTACCTACTTCACAGAGCTGGGAGAACTAAATGGAACTAAGCACGTGGCACGTAATAAGGACTTAAGAGATGTTAACTAATATTATTACACACTTTGATCCCGAGTACACACCAGGCACCGTGCCAGGCCCTGGGAACCCCAGCCAGACTATACTGATACAATGACTGAAGAAACAAAACCAGGAGGCATGAAGAACCGGTTTCTCAGTCGAGGAAACTGAGGCTGACCAGCGGTGGCGACACCAGCAACGGAGGGAAGAGCCTCAGAGACACGTAGCTCCGCGGAGCCAAAGCGATAGGGATAGGGGTTGCCTCGCCCAGGGTCCCTCAGGGCGGCTGGGCCGGACGAACCTGGCTCGAGTCCCCGGTGCAGGTCTCCGCGATGTCGCACTCGTTCACCGCCTCTCGACAGGACACACCCCGCGGCTCGTACTGGGAAAGGGATCCTGGCTCAGTCCAGAACCGCCGACTCCCCGCCCGCCTTTCTCGAGGCC